ATCTTAATGAAACCCTTAAACGCCATCCGGCTAACTTAGCTGCGTCCATAGACACCAAGATCGTTGGAATCCGTGCCGCCGTTTGCTCTGAATTCCATTCTAAATCGAATCAATTTTCAGATTAAGGGAGTTGCCTGTGACTAAGAGTGTCGGCCACCCGTTTGTTATCGGGACTTTAGTAGGACGTCATTTTCCTCGACCGGGGGTGGCTACCGCCACTCTTGATCAGAGTTCCGTGCATTTATCGGAAGCTAACGGGAATACTTGGTAATTGTCAGCGATGCTAGTAATTTTAGGGACTGTTTTAGTGTTGTGCAACATTCTCTTCGCAACACGAGGAGAAAGAAACCCTGGTAAAAATTGGCGATAGGAGCTGCGTTTCAAAATACCATAGGAGTTCTTATAGCCGACTAAAGATGGCTATTGAAAATCATATAGCTGACTGTAGAAAGCGGAGCAAATCATATAGCCGGGCTATAAGAAGCTATAAAAAAGTATACAGTCGGGCTATAGTTCCTATCGCCGGGCTTTACACTTTATCGCCATTGGCTACAAGAGGCTATAAGAAATTGTGTAGAAATTCGTGTGCTTTGAAAGTCATTAAGTTTGATACGGAACTACCTTAATATTTACAAAACACATTATATTTTCCTTTAAAACATATTTTTTTTTTTTTATCAATTTAAATGAGAATATCAATTAAAACGCTCTGAGAACAGAGCGTGCAAACATTTCAAAATCATGAGTTGAAAAACGCTGACTCCGCAAGATTAAATATTAGAGCCTAACACAAAGCGGAGCGGCGACGCACTGGCGCCTACAAATCTAACAGGGATACTTCACGCATTGCGCAATGCGTGAAGTATCCCTGTTGGGTTTGTAGGTGCCAATGCGCGTTTCACGCTCTGCCTGCCCGCCGCGCCGCAGCGTGCCACGGCGTCTGAAGCAACTATTTCACACCAGAGGTATTGCACAGTATCATAAGAAATTGAAGGCGCTCCAACATATTAAGAAGGACAAGCATCCTTCAAAAGTACGGAACATTCCTTGCAAAATAAATCAAGATACTACGGCACAAAAAGAGAGCGGTAGTCCAAAAACTAACTAAGTCCTAGTATCCGTATTTAGTAACGTTTAGCATAAACTTTATCGTCTGGCTGTTGCTTAGTCGCCATCGGCTATAAAAGGCTATAAGTAATTGTACAGCCGGCTACAGAGGCTACTGGAAATCTTACAGCCGGCTTTAGGTCTATAGTATTTTGAAACACACATTCTACTGCCAATTTTTACCAGGGAAACAGTTGGAAAGCCATATGAATAAGTAAGACTATTTATTAGGCAAGGATTGCAAATGAATGAGGGGGGGGAGGAGTATCGCCTCAAGCTGCGGCTCTTGTTGAAACAATAATAAAAAATTAATTTAGCAACAATGAATTTCAATAGTTAATGCTGATCAAAGCTATAATGCCTTCATTTTGATAGCACTTACATAATTTAACTTGGGACAATAATCTGTCATAACGTTACTTACTTATTGTTAGAAGGACACTGATAGCAACCGCGAAGATGCAGGAGATGTGCATAGTGAGATCAGTATACTTTACGTGTGCACTTCTAAGTATCACAGGAACAAGAACCAACGCGAAATAGAGGAATGTTAGTATAAATGTTTGCTGGAAACAACTGTTCGATGAATTTACTCCCAGCTGTATTAAATACAGCTGCGTTTTGCGTCAGTAAAAGTTGAAGCACTATACAATGTACAATAAACCGTAAATCTGCGATCACAAATAATGATAAATTGAACCAGTAATTCATAGTCCGCTCTGACTCATGAAATTTCTTTTTTTGCGGGGGTACATTTACTTTTCCCTATGTTGCTCCGCGTGCGACAACCTTCAAAGTAAATTCAAAGAGTAAAAAGCATCGACGTGTAAAACACATTTTGCCGAAGTAATATCAATGTTGGAGGAAAAATTGATCTCATCGTTGAACTATTTTTACTAAATTCTCTATAAAAAATACTATCTCTGGCTTATTTTTGGAAATACATGCAAATAAATGCTGCATGAGCTAGATATAGTGATTCTTTATTAAGAAATGAATCTATTTGGCACTTTTGTTCCACAATACGTAATTTTTGTACATTAACGACAAGAGATGTGGATGGACAAAATTGAGCGTTGCGTTGAATGAACACGGCGTGATTACAATTCCGTATTCCGCATTCGTTTTTGCCTGGAGCTGTCCCCTTAAGTTAGCATATCCAACATAAGTGCTGGGGAAATTCCATAAAAGGTCTGGAAATTGCAAGTACGAACTTAAATTATCAAGGTTTTGGAAAACTAAACGTTACATTTTAGAACTCTACCTCTCCTTACATAAACACAAGCTAGTTGTAGTTCATGAAATCTTGCGGTTAGTGTTAATGAAATTCAACTGTTATGTTCGCTGAGTGTATTGTCTTTCCGGCAAAACTCACCTTCGAATGAAAAGATCGAGCTTGAAATCCATCCAGCGCAACAAGAACAAAACCAAGAACTAAATTTTTTTTACAGTGTAGGGTTTTTCTCATTCTAGAGTCCTCTCGATGTTTCATATGAAGATAAGTACACCCTGGATTATCTGCCAGAAATGACAACGTTCAGAATGTCATTCATCTCGCGTATCACCCGATTTGTGATGCATTGAAGATGAATGCGTCATATGCATTTTGAGAATTTTCAATGGAATGTTCGTAAAATAAGCTCTTTGACATACATGGCCCGCAGACACGTGCCTTTCGGCTTTATTTGACAAAGAAGCGGCATGCTAACATCTCTCACAACTATGGTAACTTATGACGCCAGTATATCTGGACCTAAAAATTTCTTCCGTTCATCCAAATTTAGACTTTAAAGTGTTCCGCCTTTTTGACTCGTTGATGACATTATTTTGTAGTAAAAGGATTGAGGTGGCAATTATTTCTCTTCCTTGGTACACCGTGATTAAGGTGCCACAACTAAGGAGTCCCATGCATCTCTGAGGAAGTCATAAAAATGAAAGTGCCTTCAATTTTTTGATATGCAACACGCACATTCGTGCAACACGAATAGCTGCAGCAAGGCGCTTTAGTCAACTTAGTTTAGACTTCGTAAAGCAGGACCGCCTTCAACTTTTTTAATTTGCGACACGCACATCCGAGATACTAAAAGTATAAGCACATTTTTAAAAGAATAGGTCGCAAAATTCGTTTACGTAACCTGTAAATATTTTTTGATACTTTAAACATTTAAAGCATTACACTAACTGTAGCGTTTAAACTGGATCGCATTTTGCAAAAAGGAACCAGCGCAATTACAATGTTTTAAAAATGTTGCATCTTCATAATTATCTAAATACCTCCCAGAATAACAAATATTTTTTGTTTTTTCACTAAAAATTGTTCATTTTAAAGGAAAATAATTGTGTGAATTTTAACACTGCACATGTTTTAAGTATATTTAAAAGAAAAGAAGAAGTCGCACGAATTTTAAAACACTGTAATTGCTCTGGTTCTTTTTTTCTAAATGCAGTATATCTAATACATTCCTTTTTTTTTGGCAGGTTGGCCTATTAGTCAGCGCGTCTGACTCTAGGTCAATGGGTCCCGGATTCGAAGCCCGATAGGGCCAGCGAATTTTCACAGAATTGACGAGTGTATCTGCAGAAACAGTTTTCACTCGACCCTGATCCCTGAGAATTAGAAAGCTCAGAGCATGACTTTGTGGTTCCGGCAGCTCACCTGGGCTCTGCCCGGCCCACGGTGTGACCCCTTATTTACGGACGATTTTTACCATCGATTTTCTTGGAAATGGTGTAGTTTATGGGAAAAAGTCATTCTATATAAAGTGTTTAGAATTATATCATAAGTTGGTTGAAGCAAAAATATACGACGTTATGGTCCGTTTTTCATTCTTCGAATTCCAGATTTTACTAGAGTATCGACGCTATGTTGTACCAATCTACGTCACGACGGAAACCATCCGCAGAATGCAAACACCTCCTTTTTTTTCTCATATAGAGTACATAGAGTCGTAATGTAAATAGTAACGTTGGTGCCATGTTCTGGTCGACGAATCCCGAGCCTAGTCTGCGTCGAGCATTTCGGTCACTTTTTCGATACATATTCGATCCAAAATGGCGTTGTAGAGTCGGATGACCGGGCCCCCATTTGTCGCAAATCGATTATGTATCGAAAAAGTGATCCGGCGTGACACAGGAGTCTCGGAATCAGGGATCTGGAAAAGGCTTAAAAAAGTGGCGCTTGCTCTCCCAATTACTCTACCAGGGTTGCAATTTTTCATGAGAAATAAAATCTTGAAATTTCACGTGAAATATTTCACGAAATTTCAGAAATTTATGAAAAATATTGAAAAACACCGGTTCCACTTCATGTTTCGCATAATGTTAAAATTGTGACTTTCCTCTATTTGTGTGTGTTTTAGTGCGGGTTGCATTGCATACTCTAGCCCCTGAAAAATTTGGACTATTTCGCAGCCTATGCGAAATTTCATGAAATAGTTCACGGAAATTTCCAATCTTTCATATTTCTCATTTAACCCGTGCAACCCTGTGCATTACGACTCTACGTACTCTATGTTTTTTCTCTATGCATAATTGAACCGCGTTTAACAGAAAGGAACCAAGCCATATCAGCTATTGCCAAATTTAACGCGGCAGTTTAATTGTTTACAAGAGAACGTTTGAGCGGATTCCTTTGAAAATTTTAGGGAATTTTCTTCGTACGATGCAGAAAATCCACTGAATTTTGCACAAAAATTCGCACAACCGTCCTCATGTGAAAAATTAAATTGCCCAATTAAATTTGGCGATAGCTGATGTGGCTTGGTTCCTTTCTGTTTAACGCGGTCCAATTACGATTGCAGATTTTCGGCGCAAGGATGTTCCGTTTGGCCGCCAGAGCGCGTGCCGGCGGCTCTCGCATGGACTCTCGCCGAGCCCCGACAGGAACGTGCGCCCATTAACAAGGGCCGGCGGATATGCGAGCGGGGAAAGAGGAGGGGGAGAAAAAACGCCAAAGTAAACAGTTCCCATGAATGGGAGACCCCCTGTGGGGCGCCCCCCGCCAAGTGACAACACTTGAAGCCGTGGGGGCTTAGCGGGGCCGGCCCGATCGCGCATTACAAGATGTTTAGCTTTAAGCGAGCCGCGACACTGCCGTATTCAAGTGTTGTTATTGATTATTTATACAACCTCATAAATGAGTTTTCTGTTGATCGGACGCGTATGTGTTGTGTTCGATCAATGCGGCGGGTTCCTTATCGCTCTAATTGTTGCGGTGAGCGTGCATGGCGTCTCGGCGGCCGACGACGACGGCGGCTGGGATTACGCCGCACCGCGTCACTGGTTTCGCCCCCGCAAAGCACGCCGCGGGTTGCGATGGTGAAAGTACAAAAAAAAAACCGTCGCGATTGGGTGACATTAAAATTTCCCATTTAAAAAAAATAAATAAGTAGTGATAGTAGTTAAGTAGGATTTATTTAGCTCCAAAACAACCATTGGCTATGAGGCACCTGGCGTGAAGTTGAAAATCTAAATTTGGAGAGTCGAGGAAAGATAAAGGGTACAAACAGAATATGTCAGGGAGAAGAATGGTATGCAGACATCGTGGAAGAAGGAGAATAATAAGAGGAATTTAAATTTTTACTTGTAGAGTATTGGAAAAATTAACGATTTTTGACTGCTCATAATTCAGGTGATATGTGGACCAAAAGATGGAATTTGAGTACGAAGCTGGTCTTTTTCATTTTTGACAGCTTCACACTCATATAATGTATGGGAAACGGTTGAAATGATGTTTAACAAAAATTACAAATCGGTTGTTTTTCTATGATAAACAGATTTTTCTTTTCTTCGGTGGTGATGGGAGAGGCGGATGTGCCTAAATCGAGAAGTAAAAATCTATTGGCGCAAATAAATGAATGAATAAATAAATATATACATAAACAAAAAAATAAATTAAAAAATCCTTGCGGAAGGAAATGATCGGGGCGTCGTATCTACATTGAGAGCGTAGTAAAAACACCTACGTACACAAATATTCGGAATAATGACACATACTACCCAAAGTCGAGGAATCCGTATCTTCATCGCAACAATCAAGCTCTCCGATATTGCTTATTTTCTTGAAATATATCTTTAAAACACTCGGAATGACAAAGGCCCTTCAATTCTATGTTTACACAACGGAGACATTTCTTAGGCATGAAGAGTTCCTCCACAAATCATGCTGAGCGCATCGCAATATAAAAACTGCATGAAGCGCAAAAGATACTCGTATCCTATGTCATGCAAATATTCGTCCTTGAAAGATGTCTCTCCAGTTTAAACGAAGAATTGAAGGCTTCCTGTCATCCTAGATCCTAGCGGTGAAGCCCGTTGCCACGCCGCGGGTGAGGCGTTGAGTGCCCGGAGGGTCGGAACGCCTTCACTCTTGTGTGTATGCAACCCGGCCATCCGTAGAGCTCGAATAGTTGCATCCAGGCGTTGTAATGAAATTCGCTTAGTAATTGTCGCATGCGATACTAACTGAGAGCGCATGCTTGTTTCTCTTACACCTTAACTTCATTCAAGCGTTGCTTATTGTACCGATGGAGTAAACTAGTATTGATTTTTAACGCGGCATTGGCACATTTCCGAGAAATATTTCGATTTTCCAAATGTATAA